CAAGGCCAAGTGCAGGGTCCTGCACATGGGTCGGGACAATCCCAAGCACAAGCACAGGCTGGGCGGAGAATGGATTGAGAGCAGCACGGAGGAGAGGGACTTGGGAGTGCTGGTGGATGAGAAGCTCAACATGAGCCGGCAATGTGTGCTTCAGCCCAGAAAGCCAACCATATCCTTGGCTGCATCCAAAGAAGCATGGCTAGCAGGTTGAGGGAGGTGATTCTGCCCCTCTACTCTGCTCTCGTGAGACCCCACCTGGAATACTGCATTCAGCTCTGGAGTCCTCAACACAAGAAGGACGTGGAGCTGCTGGAGCGAGCCCAGAGGAGGGCCACGAAGATGATTCAAGGTCTGGAGCACCTCTCCTATGAAGACAGGCTGAGAGAGTTGGGACTGTTCAGCCTGGAGAAGAGAAGGCTCCGGGGTGATCTTATTGCAGCCTTCCAGTACCTAAAGGGGGCCTACAAGAAAGCTGGAAAGTGACTTTTTACAAGGGTATGTAGTGATAGGACAAGGGGCAATGGTTTTAAACTGAAAGAGGGGAGATTTAGATTAGATATAAGGAAGAAATCTTTCACATTGAGGGTGGTGAGGCACTGGAACAGGTTGCCCAGAGAAGTTGTAGGTGTCCCATCCCTGGAAGTGTTCAAGACCAAGCTGGATGAGGCTGTGGGCAACCTGGTGTAGTGTAGGGTTTCCCTGCCCATGGCAGGGGGATTGGAACTAGGTGATCTTTGAGGTCCCTTCCAACTCTAACCATTCTATGGTTCTATGATTCTATGTTACACTCAACTTTCAGAGAGAGTAAACTACTAATAGTACTGCTAATAGTTGAAGGATTGACCCAACTTCTCTGCTTCAAAGGTTCAATAACAAATCCTCATTTTTACAAGTTAATTTATTACTGATAATTATTCAGTGAAGATCTCCAAACACTTGCATTGCATCATGATTCCACATTCAATTGTTTAATTTGATTATATGAATCATATGATGTTGTTCCTGAACTGCCAGAAAGTGGCAAGAATATCCGTATTCTAGTGAATCTAGTATTCGTTCTGTGAGAGATTTTCTTTCACTGAACATATCTACTAAAAAAAAAATCAATTCAGCTTTACAATAACTACACTCATTTGGCCCTAGAAAAGAACACTGTTGTCTGCGAGGTCTACCATATTCTACAGGCCCCACCTTGTTCAGGAGACTCTCCATTAAGATCCCTGTATTTAGTTAGTGATGAGTTATAACTTATGATACTTGCTGCACACATGTGCCAAATATCCTATGTATGGAGAAACAAGCTCATTTTAAGTAAACTATTCTTTATCTTTGTGCCTTCCTATTCCAATGTATTTCAATATAGCCGAGAGCATACATCTCCTCTCTGGATTATCTTATTTATAGTTAGTGATGACAGGTATGTGGTCAGAGTGCCGTTGTGGTCAGAGTGTCGTTGTGATCTCTATCACTTGTTGGAAACCTTTTTTGTTCAATAGCAGTTAAAACGTTTGGTTAAGGAATCCAAGAGGGAGCTTTCTTCTGTAACAAAGAGAGCAATAAAGCAAGATCTGGAGATTAGTGCTGCAGTTTACAAGCAAGAGGCTTGGACAGTGTTCGCTGTGCAGTTTTGGGTGAACCATTCAGTTCTCTGGAGGAAATGGCAATGTTAACACTTCTTTATTTCACCAGGGTATTCAGAGGACACCATAAACATTCTGAAAATTTCCGGAAGTGTGATAAAGGAATCCATTATAAGGGCATATCTAAAGGGCAGACTCAAGCTTCTCTGCCTTCTCTTTGAGCTGGCCAGATGACAAGACAGCTGTGGACTTGTGGTGGATTAATCTTGGCTTGCTGCCAGGTGCCCACCAAGCCACTCCCTCACTCCCTTCCCTCAGCAAGACAGAGGGAGAAAATATGATGAAAAATCTTATGGGTCAAGATTAAAAACACCTTCCCTCCACTCCCCTTCTTCCCAGGCTCAGCTTCATTGCTGACTCTTCCAGATCCTCACCGAAGCAGCACAGAGGAATCGGGAATGGGGGTTGTGGTCAGTTCATAACACTTTATCTCTGCTGCTCTTTCCTCCTCACACTCTTCCTTGCTCCAGGGACAGGTCTCCCCCATGGGATACAGTCCTTCATGAAGTGCTCCAAGTGTGTCCCTCCCAAGGGCTGCAGATTTTCAAGAACAGCTCCAGCATGGATCTCTCACATGGTTGCAGTCTTTCAAAGTGTTGTGGTTTTAGGCTGATCCAGCAACTAAAACTCACAGTCTCTCCTTCTCCAGTAAAGTAGAGAGGAGAGAAAAAAAACCACAAAGGGACTGAGGGTTGAGACAAGAACAGAGGGAGCACCCACCAACCATGGTCCTGAGCAAAACAGACAGGGCTTTTCTCAAAGCAAAACAGTTTATTAATGATTACTTAGAAGGACAAAGGGAAACAAAAACCGATTACTCGAGAGGACAGAAAGAAACAAAACCAGATCTTAAAACCGACACCTTCCCCCCGCCCTTTCCTTTTCCTCCCGGCTCTACCTCCTCCCCCCTGCAGCACAGGGGGCAGGGACTGGGGGAGTGCAGGTCAGTTCATTCCGTGCTGTTACTGCTGCTTCTTTCTTAAAGGAGAAGGAGTCCTTACACCCTTTTCCCCTGCTCCAATGGATCCCCTACCCACGAGGAAAAATCCACAAACTTCTCCAGCGTGAGTCCAGCCCACTGGAAACAATCCTTCCCCACAGATTGCTCCGGTGTGGGCTTTACCACAGTCTCGG